CCTCACTTTTTTGGATTCCTTTTTCTTCTTGTTCTGATTGGTTGTTTTTTGCTTCCTTATGTTCCATATCATTGATTTGATTCTTGGCTTCATCTACTCTACTGTTGTTTCCTTGTAAATTGTTCTTTATTTCAATTCGTGTATCCTTCATTTCTGACTGGATCTATTTTACGCTGCTGAGGATACTAAGTTCCTGTAGCATCCTTATAACCAGTGTTATAAACTGTGCATTTTGTTTAGCTCTTTTTCTGGAGTTTTGATCTGTTCTTTCATTTGGGCCATGTTTCTTTGTCTCCTCATCTTGGCAGCCTCCCTGTGTTTGTTTCTATGTATTAGGGAGAGCTGCTTTGACTCCTTGTCTTGGTAGTGTGGCCCAATGTAGTCGGCATCCTGTAGGGTGCAGTGGCACAGTGTCCCCTACCACCCAAGCTAGATACTCAAGGTGTGAGGCTGAGTACATCCTCCTCTTGTCGTTGAGCCTTGATTGCTGTTGGCACGTTAATAGGAGGGATTTACCCAGGCCAGTCAGCTGCAAGGACTGGCTGTGTCTACTGACTACCAGCCTCCGACCTCTGTAGAGGATCAGCTGTGCAGGATCAGGGTGGTGGTACTCTTGACATGGTCTGTAACTGTCCAGTGGGTGTGCATGCTCTGGGGTTTCCTGGGTGGTGAAGGCCAACGTCAGCCCCCACTTGTGTTCTGTCCAGGGCCAGCCTGCATGAGCTATAAAGCAGTCTGAGATGGCTACTACTTGTTCTGGGCTTAGAGATTTCCAGGCAAAGCCAAGCTGTGAATCGAGTCTGGCTGCTGCTAGTGCCAGGCCCGGAGCCACTTAGCAGGTGGTACAGGGGCTGGGGGCTCACTGAGGCTGTCTGTGGCTTGTTAGAGAGATTTTAGAAGTTGTGAGGCATGAGCCAAGACTAGTCATTCATATGGAAAAGTCACTGTTAACAGCTTGGTTGGGCCCATAAGTTGGGTGGGATGGAATCTCAGGGGATCTCCAGGATAGTGCAAACACTGTTAGCCAGGTTGATGGAATCTCAGATATGGCACCCGCCTGCCAGCTCTGTGGTTCTGCTAGGGGGTGGGGAGGGAAGGGTTCAGAAAAGGGACAATGGCTTTTGCCCACCTTTCTGTCTGTGTAAACGCTGTCCCCCAGCCTTCTCCTTGGTGCCAGACACTTTAGTTCCTCCCTATATGCCACTAATGTCTTTCAATTTGCTACCACAGTGCTAGAGCCCATAAGGAGTGAGTCTGAGTAAGTCTGTGTGTGGGTTCTTTAAGACATACTGCTTGGGACTCCAGGAACTTCTTCCGCCAACTCAATCCCCACTGGTTTTTGCAGCCAGGAGTTATGGGGACTTATCTCCTCGGCACTGGAATCCTGGGCTGGAGAGCACGGTGTGGTGCTGGGATTCCTTGCTCCTAAGATGTCCCTCCTGAATTTGTATCCACCACATGTGGATGTGGGACCAATCTGTTCCACATCTGTGCCCCTCCTACCAGTCTAGATGGATATGGTTTCTTTAATTCCATAGTTGTCATGCAACTTGATTTCTGATGGTTTTGGGTGATGGTTGTTCTATACTTTAGCTGTAATTTTGAGGTGGTTGTGCAAGATGGTGAGAAATGTTTACTTATGTTGCCAACTTGACCAGAAGTCAAATCATGTCTACTTTCATTTATTTTCACAGGACATAATTGCCTAACCTAGTTCTAGTCACCAGTCTTTGGACTCACTTTATTTTTCCCAATGTAACATAACCTATATTCCAGATATTATCTAAACAGTACAAAGTGTAGTGTGACTAATGTGCTGAGCACACTTTAGGCCCAACACAGAGTTTTAACACAGCCAAAGGTCATAAGATCAATTTTGTTAAATGAATGAACTACTACCCAGCTTGGTTGGCTTTAAGAGACCTCTTGACAATTGGAGATTATCTCCAGGTGACTAAGATCACCAATCACCATTTGTTGGCCCTGAGTCAACAACTACTAGTTGTTCAACCTATTATACTTACAGTTAACTATATATTATTCGGCCCACATTTTACTACTTTATGAAAAAGGTGTGTGCTGTGTGGGTCCTGGTCATATTTGTGCTCAGATTCATCCCTCAATTTTACTTCGCTTATTACTGCAGGAAGGCTGACACCTACTAGCTGTATATTCCAGGTTTCTGACAGCCAATAGGAGCGTGGTGGGAAGATTGTAGGGCAAGAAAGAGGGAAAAGTTAGGGTATTTCTCTCATATGCTCCATGCTATAATGGGCTCTCCAGTTACAGCTACCTCTCTTCCCTGGCTCCAGCTACCACTGGACAGGACCACTGGGAGTCCCATGTCTGTCATGTGACTCTGCTCTGGGCTCCATTAACTCTGCCTTCCCGTTTTCCCTCCAGCCTGCAGTGGTAGCAGCTTCCTGCTATTGCTAACTGCTGATTTGCCTCCCTGTTCCCAGGTTGGCTTCTTAGTCTAGTCCATGAAAATAATTACTATTACTTGATTTAAATTTCTACTGGTTTAAATGGTTTCTGTTTTCTCTGACTATACTATTCAGATGTTACTGGCAATTCTAGCAGCTCTGAAATAAAGATTAAGCTGTACATAGTATTATCTGCTTTATCATCATAATGACAGTTACTAAGGTTTTAAAAAAAATGTAGATCTGCATGCCTTGGCCTTAGAGAATCCGGGCAGGTTACTCTCAATTTGCCTGTTAGAAGGCCTGGAGAGGAACATCCAGTTAAACAGCTTATAATTCCCAGGAGTTGTTCCTGCTTTAGAAATTGATTGTTTCTTTCCTTTTTCACTTCTGTTTCTGCAATGGAGGAAAAATTCCAAGAGCAAAGTCCCATCAGTAAGTTTTTTCAGCAAATGCTTTGCCTGGGCCTACAGACTAAAATCAGTTATCCTCTCACTACCACATCCTTCTCTTGGGTTGTTTCCCCTTGTGCCCTTTGTCTTCCCTACTTAGGGTGAAAACAATTTCTCTTTAAAGGAAGAATGGAAGCCATGCTGCCTCCTTCCTCCACTTGCTAAAGTTTGCACTCTCTGTTTCTTGGGACTTGTTAGTTTGGATTGTAAGTCTCAGCTCACTCCATCCTCATCCTTAGGCTTTGCCCAGGCCTTCGGGTTGGTTTGGTCCTTCCATTCCTAGTACTTGCTGTGTCTGTCAGGGATCCTTTACAGGCCAGTCCTTAACCTGTGGGCAGTTCCTGGGCTCTCCCAGTCTCTCAGGACCACTGCACTCTTTTCCTCAGCCATGCTCCATGCCCTTCCTTAGACAGACTACTCATAGTTTTGCAGTTGCAACCTGGCTTTTCAGAAGCTGCAGTCTCCTGATACTCACTCCCTGGACTCTAGCAATTCTACCTAATATTTTTCCCCCTATGCTTTTAAAATCAGTTAATCAGTTCTCTTTTCACTCTACCTGTTTTCAAGATTTATTAACGCAGGCATTTTAAGAAAAAAAGCTCATCTTTCCTTTAGCCCTATTTCATTTAGGCAAACCCTAAATGGGGCCCCGGATCTCCCCCTGCTTCATTCAGAGATCCCTGATCAGGGTAATATACTTTGTTGGTCTTCAATTTGATTGTTTGTTTGTTTGTTTTTGCTTTTATTCCTCCTAAAAGGATTGTGATTCAGTATGCACCCTCTCTCATATTAAATTGATTAATGTTTTTCATGTTTCTAGGTTGGAAAATATATGATATTTAGCAAGTCAGAAACATTTATATTTTCAGTAAAACAATTATTTCACTCTTACATATGCATCCAATGTCATCTAGATTTCAAAGAAGGTGCTTTTTATACACACCACCATCCATTGAAAAATATATACAAAAATTCTTCCCTAGTGGTCAGAGCTTTACTTTGTTTCTTTTTATTCCTTGAATCCCAGTTCCCATTCCACTTTTTCTATGGGATTTTATCCTAATGTAATGTGTTTTAAAGCTCTTGTATTGATTATTCCATGTTATTTGCAGCAATAAAATATATATGGCTATTGAAATTAATTTTTTTCTTGTGACCTTAAACTTTAAGCATTCAAAGCTTTCTTCTGCTTTGAAATCTAGTTTCCATTATTATTAGCACATGTAAAATCAAAACAAAATATGAATATTGATAATTACTAAACAAACAATAAAAGTTTACTTGAAATATATTTTAACAGGATGAATGGGGCTTTTTTTCTATTTGTTCATGAATCTGAGGATGCATATGACTTATTGTTGAAATGAGAGAAGATTAGCATCAATTCTATTTCTATTTTTCATTTTTTTTTGTAGCAATAAGGGCTAAGGAATTTGCTCATAAGAATAAGTTGGTGGTCGTGAAAGTAATGCATTTCATTCTTTGAAAGCTTTATGATTTATATGGCACAAATTACTTTTTCTTTTATTATCACCTGCTCACTCTATTAGGGCCTCCCTTCAATGAGAAAATATTTTACACCATGAGCCAACATACACACACCCTATGAAACAAGAGTTTTGCAAAACAATACTCAGCCCTACTATGTGATACCTTCTGGATATATTTTATTATACTTATTTTCTTCATTTTATTTGGGAAAAACATCCACCTGATTTGTTACTCACTAAACTGATATTTCAATCCATAAGCGGATGGCAAGCCATAGTTTAAATAACTCTGGACTGGAGGAATAAGTCGTTCTGAAAGAGTTGCTCAATCAAGTTAGCATTGTTCCTCGCAAAAACTGTGAATTAGGCACAGCCAATCTTTGGCACCCTCCCATCTTTCAAGGTCTAATTTCCCGGCTCCCTCTAGCCCCGTTTATTTCTGCAACTCCTGCCCCCGTCTGCCCTTACCTCAGCTGCTTTATACTCATTTTTCAGAAATTATTTCTGAATGGGCACATTTCTTTGCGATAGCTCTGTCCCTTTATAACCATCCTCCCAGCATTTGCTTGAGCGCGCTGTAGGTCCTTGTCGGAGCCGTGCTTCCACGGATACCAGTCCCTGAAACTACTCACCTTTGACTTTTAGAGTCAGGTACTTGTAGTCCCAGGAGGTTGCGTAGCCGATCACGCAGCGGTATTTCCCCGCATCGCTCACTTGCACTTGGGAGAAGTGGAATAAGGCCTTCCCCCGCGGCAGCTCCTCCTTCAGTAAAGTGGCACTGTGCGAAGATGTGTTGTTTTCCACCTTTTGCAAAGCGGCTGTTACATGTTCAATTTCCAGATTATTTCCAGAGTAAAAATCACACTCCAGGGTCACATTGCTGCCGTGTTCTACTATGTACAGATCCTTAGGGACCGTCACTGTGAATAAAGCTGAACAGAAAACAGGATGTTCTCCCATTGTCTGCCTTCACATTTCAGTCCTGTACAGAGTGGGAGCACCCCTGTTTTCTAGAAAATACCTGTCATTATCTGGACATCACTTGGGCTCTTTTCTCTCCTTTCCCCATCCAGTCTGGGCAAGAGTGGAAATCTTGATCCACTGCTCTGAAATAGTTCTTTTCCCTCAACACGCCCCACCTGTACGTAAAGCTGATCACTCTCCTACCACCTGTCATCCAGGCTCATTTGTTTTCATGTGGATCAAATTCCCTGCAATATATAACCTACCTTTCACCAGTGACTGTAATAATAACAACTGTCACATGTTGAGTTCTTACTACATGTTAGGCCTCTGCTAACACATGATCTCAGTTAGTCTTCCTAGGAAATCAGTGAAGTAGAACCATCCTCTTCTTTAAAAAAGGAAACAGACACAGAAAGGTTAAGCAACTTGCCTAAGATTGCACAGCCAAGGAACAGACCCAGGTATTGCTAAGTCCCAGTTGCTCTTAACCACCACATCATACAAGTCCACCATAGAAGATTATTTTCTATCAACAAGGAGAAAGGAAGAATAGAACTAATATTAAGTGTGTACCTACTGCATGCCAAGCACATATTAGCAGAAACATGAAAAATGATTTTAGGTGGAGTAGAATGAGGGTCTGAAAGGAGTTGGATTATTCAGAGAGGAATTTATTTCCTCTTCAGTTTTATTTCAATCTTTGAAATTACACAAAATTTGCAACCAGAGTCTCCTATCTCTAACAATGAATATTTTTCTTTTTAATAAAACAGGAAGCTCCCAGGCAGATAATAGTATCTGAGTAGATTTTAATGACACCACTTTACTTCCACTGCATTTATATTGGCTCTTATCCTCTATGTACCAGTGCCAATGATACTGGTTTTCCATTTACCACAGAGCATATCACTTTGTTCAAGAAAAGAAAAGCTGCATTGATTTAAAGAATTTTACAAATAAAAATAATGTAAAACGGAGGCAAACATAGGAAGCTAATGAAGGCAGCACATGCACAAATCAAGCGTGAGAAACTGTAGAAAATTATGCTGTTTCCATCATTAATGAATGGATAGTCATTCCAACTGGGGATGAGAAGCAAGATCCTGAACTAGCTTCTGAATCATGACAAAGATTAGATCAAGTTATGTTCAGTAGAGCTTGCTGCATCCATTCATTAATTTAATCCGTCAAACTGACCTTACAACAAATATTTGGGGAGGCTTCCAAGCATATACTATTCAAGGAGTTGTTTCCATATAAAATGTGGTATGAAAAGAGCATTGGATTTGGTGACAGATGAACCTGGGTTCAAATTCTGACTGTATTGGAATCTTGAGCCCTTTGATCTTGACCTTGTTATTTAACCTTTATGAGTCTGTCTCTTAATCTGTAAAAGCACAGGATTAACATCTACTTCCCAGTATTGTAAAAACTAAGAGAAATGGCACATATGAAGTACCTTATTTTGGCTGGTAGTAGGTGGTCAGCAAACACTGGTTCCTTTCTTTTGTACCCTGTTTTAATCCTTGGGAAAGTGGTAATCTGTATATGGAATGCTTGGCCATTCTTTATTAACCACAGTATGTTTTTAACCAGGAAAACTCATTCATTCCCTGACCATCCTAGGCAAAAGGTTTCATGGTATAAGTAATTTCTGGGTTTTTATAAGTTGCTTAAATAATTCGCATTGCAATTCTCTTCTTACCCATGGTTTTCCTCCTGCTAGCTTACAAGTCTTTGAAGGCAGTGACCAGGTTGAGTTTGTTTTGATATCTCCAGTGCCTAGCACATACTAAGTTCCAGTTAAGGTTTTGGCAAAAAATAAAGGACAGAAAGAGGGAGACGGAGGAAAAAAAGACAAGTGTAATCATATTCACCTCTGTTTTTCTCTAATCAGAATATGACTTGCCCAAGATCACACAAATTGGCATTCTTAATCACCACATAGCATACTTCATTATAAGTGCTATCCACAAACTTAAGATTTATCAGTAACAATGGAAAAATTTACATCTTGCCTCCAAACCCTGTTATAACCATTACTAGAACATTAATGTGCCTTTGTAACAGAGATCTATAGTACATAAAGAAGTTACATCTACCCAGCATCCTTTTGTGCGGGATAGGAGTGAGGCAGGGCTATATAACATGAGTGCTTCTATGTAAAACAATGCTAATCACACCTGCATTTGCTTGACCAGGTTGAGAACATTCTGGGATGAAATATGTGAAAAGAGATGTTGTGCTTCCAAATTTCCTGTATGATTCCATTTTCTGGAATCCACTGAGCACTTGTTATAATTCTCACCCCAGGTCTCCAAAATAAGACCTTCTTAAAGGTATATCCCTTTATGATGAGAATCATCTTCAAATACTTGAGTTAGGGAGTCCCCTTAAAACTAAGACAGCACTGCCATAGCTGGTGTGACTCTGTTGGAGTGCGGTCCAGTAAACCAAAAGGTCACGGGTTTGACTCCCAGTCAGGGCACATGCCTGGGTTGCAGGTTTGGTCCTGTTGGGGTGCATGTGAGAGGCAACCAGTTGATGTTTCCCACATCGATGTTTTTCTCCCTACCTTCCCCTCTTTCTAGAATTAATGGACATGACCTTTGGTGAGGAATAAAATATATGTATATATGTCTATAAACATAAATATAGACAGAGCCACTTCACACCAAATTTGCTCTTCTCTGAAGATTAATATTTATTCATTTATCAAATATGTATTAACCATCTTCTATGTGCCAGGTTCAAAAATTTACACTACTTTTACTCTCTTCATAGTACTCCCTTTTATTTTATATGCACAATAAAACAGGAAACAGGGAAGAGAAATGGGGCTTGCAAGGAAGCTTAGTTGCTGAGTCTGAGCTATAAGAAGAATTAGAGGACTTTGGAGGTAGTGTCTGTTGAATTTATTTAACAAATTATTTATCACACTTATGCTTTCCTTTCATGAGAAGAACGCCTGTAACTTCCTCTGGAACTCCCCATAGCACACAGCAGAACTCCCCTCTTTACTGTCTGGGCCTTTGGCAAAAATCCGTTTTCTGCTTGTTTCCCCACTCTGCCTTGTACAGGGTGTGTGAGTACAGGGGTTGTAGGGATAAAGTATGCTACCTCTCAGATAGGTGCCATTTTTCAGCAAGTGTTCACAGAGCAAAGAGCAATTAGCAAACATGAATCATGTATCTGAATAGCTCAGAATAACTAGAAGATTGTTATTTGGGGATGCTTTAAAACAAACTAATGCCCTAGCCCCAATTAGGATTCTTTAAAATTAAATTTTAATTCTTTTATGAGGCCAGCATCAATTTGTTTTTAATTTCCCTAGAAGCTTCTAATGGGTAGAGAACATTGAGAACCATTGGTTAGACAAATAAAACACCTTCACTTGCAAACATCTTTTATCATCTTTCCATTCAAAATGTTGTCCTCAGTTTCACCTAGGAGCTAGTTAAGAATGCAGAATGTCAGGCCCAGCCCTAGACCTAGAGAACAGAATCTGTATCTTAACATCATTGGCATGACTCATGTGCACATTAACATTTGAGAAACAGAGTTATACACTGGTCTGCATTTGGACCTTTAATAGTAAGGAGAGTAATTGTTAACATTTATTAAACACAATGAGCCAGACATAGGGCTAACTTTTACATCAGCATCTCATTTGATGTTTCCAAAATTCTGCAAGGAAGAAGTTACTATCCCCTTTACAGATGGGGAAACTGAGGCTTAAAAAATTGATATACTCCCCCTGGCTGGTGTGGCTCAGTGGATTGAGTGCCAGCCTGCAAACCGAAGGGTCTCCAGTTTGATTCCCAATCTGGGCACACGCCTGGGTTGCAGCCCGGGGCCCTGCTGGAGGACGTGGGAGAAGCAAGCGCACACTGATGTTTCTCTCCCCCTTTCTCCCTCCCTTCCCCTCTCTCTAAAAATAAATAAATAAGATCTTAAAAAAAATTGATATACTTGCCCAAGGTCAAAGAGTGGTAGCTCCTAGAGTTGGGATTCAAATTCAACTCTGTGACTTGAAAACCTATACTCCTAACAACTTTACAGATATGACTATATGTCCACTGACATACACTGCATCCATGAATGAGGTAAATATACTTTTCATCTTTATGCTAAGGAAAAGACATTTTTTTTTATTGTATATGCTTCATGATTACTAAAATAAGCTTCAACCTAGCATTGAACTCCTGAAGTTATCAAACAAAGGAGAAAATTGGAAAATTTCTATGACTACAAAATTAAGCAGACAGAACAAGTTTTCCCCCATTCATTTGGGGCCCTTGGCTATATTAAAATGATTAAAGGACTTGGCCAGGGCATGAGAAATTCATATATACTGGTTCTTTAGCCAAATTAAAGCAGGTGCCTTGAGTAATGCTCCCCAAGCCTTGTAAAAATTTATGTAATATATACATAATTTTATATTATATTGGTCCACTGAATCTAAATATTTTAAAAAAAGATAAGAATCCATATAATCCAGTGAAACATACATAGGATTAGGGTTCACTGATAATGCTGGAGCCTTTTTGACAGTTCTTAGGGTAACTTTGTTTTTTATTTGTAATCAGGCATCAGTGAAAATCGGCATGAGCCACAGTTCCAGGAAAAAAAACAAAATAAATCATTTGCATTGCGTCTCAAGATAGCTTTCTCTTTAAGCTAATTTTATACTTCTTTTTCTATTTAACACCAAACCTTAGGCTTGTGTACACTTCCAACCTAATGCACTTGAAAGGCACGGGCTGCTTTACACAGCCATAGTTTTCAGAAAATGCTAGTTTCTGAAGACAGAAGTCTGCTTTGTAGGTATTCTGCATAGAGACATCTCATCTCCTAGAAATCCTTTCCCCACCCTGATTCTCCTGCTTTATATCTCAGGGGTCAGCAGAAGTAGTTTTCGGGTAAGTGGAGTCAGCCAGGGTGTAGTCCCTGCTCCAGAGGGAACTCAGGCATCACCATGGGCATGTGCCCTCCTGGTTTTACAACTTTGGAGGTTGAAGAAGGAAATATCAATGAAAAGAGTAAAATTTGAGTTACTTTTTCCTCCAAGACCTGACAAAATACAAAAATAAATATTTTTCTTTTAAATATATTACAAGATGGGTTACAAAATGTCACTAGATTTTGAAATAAAACTACAAGAAACTACAAGAAAAAATAAACTATACTGCTACAATAATAAAAGAGTGTGATGTATGTGGAAGGTCGAAAGAAGAGAATAGAGAGTCCAGAAGCAGACCTTCACAAACATAGTCAGTTGATTTTTTGACAACTGGTCAGACAATTCAATGGAAAAAGGATAGTGTTTTCAACAAATGGGGCTGGGCAACTCAATATCCATATGCAAAAAAAAAAAAGAAAAAAAAAGCGCTTCAACTTCTACTTCCCTTTGCCCATTCTTACCTGTTGTCTGATGAAGCTGCATCCCCAGGCTCAAAATTAGCAGGAGGAACATGTTCTGTATCAGATCTGAAACAGACAATTGAAAGCCTCAGGGCCTTTGGAAGCTTTTCTGGATCTCATGACCTGGTGATTTGCTTACTCATAAAAACAGGGAAATGACTTGCAAACAGATCTTTAGGGGAGTCAGTGGGCCCTGGTGGAATGAAGCTGCAAAGGGAAACTGTGGGCCTTGGAAGAGAGGGAAGATAGGATAAGAGGAAGTGAGGCTCTCCATCAGCCTGAATTAGAGGCTCTTCCTCCTTTTCTAACAGCCTTTACGGACTGTGAAGCAGGCCTCTGACTCACCCACACTGGCGGTTATCTCTCTGTCTCTCCCACCGAGCCTTCCATAGTTTCAGTAGTAGGCCCCTGAAAAATCAGCCTTGTTTGTCAAATAAGTAGTCCATACCATCCGTCCCAGCTGGACCAGAATTCTAGGCGTCAGACACTCAAAGATAGTGCTAAGTAGCACAGAGCTATGTTCCCAATAAATATTTGATAGTTGATTGAGCAGGTAAAGTAGCCAAGCTCTTTTGAGTGCTGTGACCAAGTTTGCCATCACTTGAACTACTGTTACTAAGAGGGTGAGAAAGAGAGCAGAGAACTGGCTCTGTTGAGTGGGTGTCCAGCCTTGGTCCTCATTCATTTCCTACGTTTCCACCTTTGCTCCCAGGTTTGTCTGTTAGTTTTTTACCCGCCGCCCCCCCCCCTCCCGGCTCCCTGCCCAAGGACTTTTCATAGTTGAAGGCAAAAAGGAACAGTATACATGACTATCAGCTATTTTGTCCTCCAAGAGGCTTTCAAAATTGCCTTAGCCATGGAGCCATTTCTTCAAGGGAAATTGGTTGGAGCCATACATGTAAATCAGGTAAAAGCGGAGCAGCTCTGAGTACGATGAAAAGCCAGTGGAGGATCTGAATCAGAATGGCATAATCTCAGTTACGTTTTTATTTTTATTTTTTTAAAGATTTAAAAAATTTATTTACTTTTAGAAAGGGGAAGGGAGGGAGAAAGAAAGGGAGAGAAACATTGATTGGTTTCCTCTTGCATGCCCCCAGCTGGAGATTGGGCCACAACCCAGGCATGTGTCCTGATGGGGAGTTGAACTTTCAACCTTTTCCTTTGCTGGAAGATGCTTAAACAACTGAGCCACACCGTGCTGGTCAGGGCTTATTTACATTTTTAAAAGATGACTCAGATTTGATGTAGATAATAGACTATTTTGGGGAAGAAGAGTGGGTGGGGCAAGATTAGAAGCAGAATGTTCAGTGAGGAATATTTTTGCAGAGATGTTGATAGTTTGGATTAGAGTTGTGGGGCTAGCAGAGGTGAGAAGTAGTCTGTCGAAGGTTTCATATATGTATATAATTTGTCCTTTAAATTTATTAATTTTTTCAACATCTTTACTTAAATATAATTGACATAGAGTTACATGTGTGTGTGCGTGTGTATGTACATGTATATATTTAAAACACAGATGACTCAATGATACAATTCAGTGGTTTTTAGTATATTCACAAAATTGTGCAACCCAGACCACTATCTAATTCTACATCATTTTTATCAGCCCAAAAAGGAACCCCACACTCATTAGCAGAAACTTCCCAGTTCCCCTTCCCTGTCTCTCCAACCCCTGGCAACTGCTAGTCTACTTTCTATCTCTATCAATTTGCTTATTTAGGATATTTCATATAATCGGAATCATACAATATGTGGCCTTTTTTTGTCAGGTTTCTTTTACCAGGCACAATGTTTACAAGATTCATTTGTGTTATAGCACACAGTCAGTATTTCACTCCTTTTTATAGTTGAATAATATCTCATTGTATGACTATACCACATCTTGTTTATTTATTCAACAGTTGATGGACATTTGGATTGTTGCCACTTGTTGGCTATTCTGAATAATTCTATTTATATACAACTTTTTGTGTAGGCATGTTTTCTATTCTCTTGGGTTTATATACAAGAGTTGCTTGGTTAATTGTATTAATAACTCTATGTTTAAGGTTTTGAGAGACTGCCAAGTTGTTTATCAAATATATGGTTAGCAAATATTTTCTCCCAGGTTGCAGGCTGTCTTTTCAGCTTCTACATAAGTCCTTTTAAACCAAAATGTTTTAATTTAATTTAAGTTCAAAGCACAATTCATGTTTATGAAGTTGATTTATCTATTTTGTCTTTTATTTCTTGTACTTTTTAGCTGTCATATATAAGAAACCATTGACTAATCCAAGGCAACAAAAGATTTACATCTGTGTTTTCTCCTGAGAATTTTATAGCTTTTGTTCTTATATTTAGATCTTTGAGGTATTTTGAGTTAATTTTTGTATGTGATATGAGGTAAGGCTCCAGATTTATTCTTTTGCATGTGGACATTCAATTGCCTCTGCACAAATTTGTTTAAAAGATTATTAATTCTCCATTGAATTGTCTTGGCACTCTTACCAAAAGTCAATTAACCATAGGTGTGTGGGTTTGTTTTTGGACTCTCAATTCTATTCCAGTGAATTATATATCTATTTTATTACCACAAACTTGATTATAGTAGCTTCATGGTAAGTTCTGAAATTGAGAAATGTAAGACCTCCAAATTTGTCCTTTTTCAAGATTTTGTGTGTGTGTGCCTGTGTCTGTATTCATGTTTGTGTGCATGTGGGATGTATATGTATTTGTGGCTATTCTGGCTTCCTTGCATTTCCATATGAATTTTAGAATCTGCTTATTTATTTACATACAAACACACACGCACACACACAGGCAGCTGGAATTTTGATAGGAATTTCACTGTGTCTGTATATCCATTGGAAATATATAGCCATCTAACAATATTAAGTCCTCCAATCCATCAACACATAATGTCTTTCCATCTATATTTCTCAAAAAAGATCTAATGGGAGTTGCTCACAAGATAGATACGTAGATTGACAAAAATAGAAAAACCTAGTAAAATTTCTAGGATTAGGGCTTGAGTCCTAAGGCAAAGCAGGTGCTATTTATTTAAATGAAGAAGACTGAAAAAAAATGGGACAACTGTAAAAAATGGGACAATCAATAAAATATATATTAAATGAGGAAGACTGAGAGAGAAGAAGTTTAGAGAATAGAAATCAAGAATTATGTTTGGAATATGTTTGATTTGAGATATCTATTGAACATCCAAATGAAGATGTTCAATAGGCACTCAGGTAATAGGTGGTGGAGAGTGTGGGGGTAGAGATATAAATTTGGGAGTCATCAATGTGTGTTACTTAAAGCCATGTGGATGCGTGACATTATCTAAAGAGAAATAGGGAAGAGAAAGTGTCGAAGGACTGAGATGTGGGGCTTTCCAACATTCATTGATGAGAAGGAGGCTAGTAGCAAAAGAGGATTGAGAGTAAATATCAAAGGGCAAATTCATTATGTCCTTTATTTTCTGTATTCTGATGCTTTGACATATGTGGCATATGACTATTCTAGAGGGATTGCCCCTCCTAGAATTAACCAATTCTTCATAAAGAAGTTCGTTCTTCAAATGTGCACCAACCAGTCCAGAACCTATACCTCCAACCACCGTTTTTACTGGATTCTCATACTCTGTGCCACTACTTACCTGCCCTAATCACCTCAGGTACCAGATAATAAGGGAGACCCCCAATGCCCCAGAGCCTGCTGAAATTATTCAAACCAGCCAATCCTAAACCTGCTTTCCCCACCTTGCCCATTTCTCCCTGTGAAAGTCACAACAAAGGCGCCTGCCCACACCTCCCCCTTCTCCCTCTGCCTCTGGTCTGACCCTGATGCTTCCCTGTGTGGCCCCCTGTGGTATGGCAGGCCCTCTTCTCTTGGGAAAGAATCTAAAAAAATATTTTTTAGTGTCAGCTATTTTCTGACTTGTCAGTCTTACCATAGCTAAATAACAGTAAAACCTAGAGTTTCAAACAAAGAGCTACAAGAAGAGAGTGGTCAGTTGATTCAAAAGCTCCTGAGAGTTGAACTTAGCAGTAGGGAGGTCACAGATAGCCTGACAGAGGATCTGGTGCTGACAAAAGCCTGTGTGGATTCAAAGGAAACGAGCAGGCAAAGATAGGGAGACAACAGGATGTAGGCTGCCTTTTAGAGAAGAGTGACGAGGCAGTTGCTAGACAGGAATATAATGTGAGGTCCACAATAGGCTGTATCCTTACTTTTCATTTAGGAAAGGAGATATTACAGGAGGGGCAGGAACAGAATCAAGTGCTTTCCATAGGAAAATGCTCAAGGCGCACCTTAGCTAGACTTGCAGATCCCCTTCCTTATTATATCCACAGAAGATATCATCTTTAGCTGCACCTGCAAGCCTGGGACTTGTCCAGCATTCTTATTTCTAAAGCACAAAAGCACAGCACATAGCATATAGTTTGGGCAACAGAAGGACTCCTGGCTCAACCACTGGCCTTAACTTCCCCTTCTTCCTTGCCGGTCTAAGAGGACTTTCTTTATACACAGCCTGCTTGAGCTCACTGAGAGACAGAGACAGACAGTGTTGTAAAATACTTCCCAACCAGCAGCCTCCTTCCTTCTAGACATGCCCCATGCAATGGTTAAGAGCTCAGACTCTAAAGTCAAATACATCTGAGTTCAACTCCTGTTTCTAGAAATTATTGTATTGACCTCTAAGACCTTGGACAGTTTATAAAAACTCTTTGTGCCCCATTTTCCTGTAATGCCAGTAATAATAACACCCACTTCAAGCCAGAATCTTAGGCATCATCTTAAACCTACTCATTTCTCATCTTGCAGATCCAGTTCAGCCCCCAGTCCTGTTAACTCTATTTCCTGGAAACTTCTTGGATGATGCCTCCCCTTTGCACCTTCCCCCTGCCATTACATTTAATTCAGCTCCTTCTCATTTCTCCTTATACCATAGCACGGGTAATCACTGTCATTGTTACCTTCTGGTTTTGCCTCCCTTTGCTCTGTCTTCCACTTGTCAAGTTGGAGGACACAAACCTTGGCATCATCCTTCATTCCTTCCTTCTCTCACTTGCTTTCAATTCATTGCC